AGCCAAACACACAGACCTCTCCCACATGTCCACCAATGAGACTGGCTTCCAAGAACCACGTGGGACCTGGGGGAACCAGCATTTCAGCCCACAGACCATGTCTATGGCCTAGACAGTGGCACCTGCTCTCTCTCTGTCTCCTCATTCCACTCTGGAAAGCCCATCCCGTTAAGTCCTGGAGACCCCGTAGTCCAAAAGGACCTGTGCCGAGTGGTAGGAAGGGCACTTGTCATCCAATTGAGAGGTGGCTGGTTACAGCTGCGCCTCCCCACCCACACTTCTCTGACTCTGTGTCTTTGTTTCTCTGGCATCTCTCTGTGCAGGGACTTTCTTTCCCCCACTTTGCTGGGCCTGACCTTCCTGCCCTCTCTCTGCTCACTCAGGCTTCCCTGGAAATCCACTCCTGGCAGGTGGAGACACACCCTGGAACACTCTCCACCTCCAGGGATCACACTAGATGTGCTAGCTGAGTGAGATCAGAGGAGCCCGATTCTGATTCTGGTGGCCGGCCTGGAGTCCTGCTCTGCCAAGGTCTCTCTGACACGGCTGTTGAAACAAGTTCATTCTGTAGCTGCCCATCTAGGATGGTGTCTGGAATAGACTAGTTCAAGATTCTTCACCATCACTTTCTCCGACATAAGGACTTGTGGGCCTCTCCTCCCTTTGGGCACCTCCCCCTCCCTCCCACCGCTACTGAGGGTGCCATCTTTCCTCATGGACCGAAGACCTCTGATCCCTTTTCAAAAGTGCCTGAAGTGTCTGTCAGCTCTCATAGTGGTCTGAGCTCTGATTGGAGAGCTCAGTGTTCCTGCTGGAGGCCTTGGTTCAGGCCTCAGTGGTGGTATGGGCCATAGCAGGACCACTAAGTAGCATGCTCTAGGGGATCCTTACATGCACATGGTGACAGTCTGGGTTTCCATGACCAGCACCTGTGGCTGGTTGAGGGATGAAGAGGCCTCCATGATAGAAGTGCTCCAGCACTGTCATCTGAGTCACTTCATGACCTCTGTTTACTGTCCCTGTCATGGTAACATTCAAGGTCCATCCAAGGATCCTCTTGTTTGGAGTGGCCTCAAGGGCCCTAACTGAACAAAGGGGAAGCCACAGGGAAGTGGCTTCCAGATCAAGGCTCAAAATGTTCTATGCGGTAGAGGGGTACTCCTGTAGGATAGACAACTAGTAGGGACAGAGTGAGTACAAGGGCACCTGGAGAGCATGGGTTCAAGGGTATGACCTATGGGACTCTGGGAAAAGTGTGGCACCCACAAGGTGGTGCAACAGTCAAAAAGTTACAGAGACTATAAATGGTTTTCTAGCATCGAGATTGGGATTACAATTATAGACCAGGAACGTCTGGCACTGAGGCCACGTCTGTGTTGGGAGGACAGTGTATCGTCACCAATGTCAATGCAGGGACAATCTAGCAAGCTGGCTGTGGTGGCGTATGCTTGTCCTTCTGGTACTTGAGGACTGCCAAAGGTCCAAGGCTATCCTGACCAGACTGGGCTATATCATGAGACCACACTTACAATTCAGGCTAAATAAAGGAACAAGCTAAAAAAAAAAAAAAAATGAAGTCCACAGAAGTTCACTGATAATCAGAGAAGAAGCTCTCCTGTTTCCTCAGCCGCTATGTGCTCCATCCTGGCCCCTGCCTCCCATATGACATAGTGTCCTCTACCTGTCTCCTGCTGCCCAAGTCTCCTTCTTACTCACTGTCACCAAGCTTTTCCAGATCCCAGCCTCACCACATTTACTGATCAAAAGTGGGATCTTATGTAAAGCAAGTTCCATTTCCCTGTTTGTCATTGTAAAAAGTCACTAGATTTTTTGACGGTTGTTCTCTTGTGCAGACCCAAAGCAGTGAACAGGATTGACTGGGCTTCCCATGGATTAGTCAGGCCTCTCTGGCCCCAGCCTAGATGAGCTCAAGGCCCTCAGAGGCATTTCCAGTACCCTGGATTCTAACCCCTCAGCCCTGATTGTGAACAGTTTAGCTAACATTTCTGGGTGGCTACAGAGCCCTGCATGTTCCTGGGACACTTGCAAACAAAGAAGAATAGAAGTTGGGTCCAGAAAGGACAGATCGGAACGTTTATTTTTGTTTGTTGGTTTGTTTCTTTAATTTAAGAGGGAAAGTGTGAGCTCTTCGAGGGGCTTCCTGGGGAGCTCTCACTCCCTGGACTCCAAAAGAAAAGAGGGCACCCCCTCTGTTCCCCACTGTGTCCACCGAGGGTCTTCTCTGAGCCAGAAGGGTGTGTCTAGGGCACAAGCCGCTCTGACCTGGCCAGTGCCTGTCTTGGGCAGGTCACAGCATTAATCACTTATGTCTATGGTAGGGAAGCTCCGTGAACAACAATGCTGAGGGTAGCCCTGAACTTTCTAAAAACTCCCAAATACATGCAAAGGGGTGAAACAAAAACCATAGAGGTTTAAAAGGGATGGAAGGAGAAAGCGATCATTATTTATGACCTAAAGAACCAATTCTTGCAAAATGCTGTAGCTGAAGTAGGAAAGCATTTGAATAATACAATTTAGGATTACATGAAGTGGCAGGTTACAAAAAAAAAAAAAAAATTGCACAAAGCTACCAGTGTTCTCTTTTGATTTTCCCTCTTGTCAGAGCTGTAATTGTAATAGTAATGCAGTTGTGACTAAGTTTGATAGAAAATTCAGGACCTGGATGAGAGATCTGACAATGTAAAGACATCCGTTTCTAGCAAGTTTATAAAAGCATTTCAGCATAAATGGATTTGGATTTTTAATCACCACAGAAACATACCTCTGGGTGTGTCTGTCAAGGTGTTTCCAGAGAGACTTAGGTATAGAAAGAAGAGTCTACTTTTTGTTGTTTTGAGACAAGATTTCACTGTGAGTCCTTGGCCTGGAACTCGCTATGTAAACCAGGCTGGCCTTGAACTCTACCAGCCTGGGTTTCACAAGTGCAGGGTTAAAAGCACTTGCCATCACACCAGTAGCAAGACTCATCTTAAATATGGGTGGCACCACCATCCCACAGGCTGGGAGTCTTCACTACATATAATAGTGGAAGGCAGCCAAGCACCAGCATTCACCTCTCTGGAGCGCTCACCATGCCTCATGCTCCATCATCACGGCTTCCCCGCCACGAAGGACTGTGCCCCTTCTTAAACCATGACTCAAAATAAGCCTTTCCTTCAAGAGCTCTGTCAGATATGAAGCAATGAGCAAAGCAACTAATACAGGGGAACTTAAAAATATGGCCCAGATACTCATCTTGGAAGAAAGGGCCGGGATTGGGAAAGATTGATTGGAGGAGAGGCATGAGTCCATGGAGTGCCTCCTGCAGGGACAGGATCCTGAAAGGATGCATATGCAGGTACGAGAACACCCATCCTGCTTGGTTTTCCCCTCTTGCTGCCAGACAGATGGAGGTGGGTGGTAAAACTGACTGCCTAAGAGAGAGACCCATGTCTTCAAAAGAGAAACCCTATCTTCCTTCTGAGCTGGATATACTCTGGAGAGGCTTCACACATAACCAATGGCACTGTATGCAACATTCAGGTTATGCTATAGGCAGGGGCAGCTAACTGCCCTCTTGACAGCCCCTCTACTACTGAGGGTCAGATGTGGTAGCTGGACCAAGAGTAGCCATCGCGAGACATGATGATTGTAGGAATAGAAGCCCTGTTCGCTTACATTTCTTTCCTCCATTTCTGCCTCTTACTCCAATTCCTCCTCTCTACTCTGCTAGATGTGCTTCGGAGGGGCGGGGGTTTCTGCCTCCTGTCGCTTTAAGAGCCAGGCATCAGTAGATATTGATACATTTTTGAGTGAACAGATATGAAAAACATGTTATATACGGTGAAGAACTATGTAGGTTAAGAACCATGAGTACAGAGTGGTTGGTGTGCCCACTTTAGTGTCCGCTTGTTCCAGGCCTCCTGAGCTACCTCTCAGCTCCGTCTCACCCTTTGCTCTCCCAGGAGTCTGGCAACCCAGGCACAAATCCAGGAGGCCACCCATATCAGAGGTCAGGCTGCAGGGGCGAATGGAAGGAAGGGGGGGCAGATGATTCCCTGTCTTCTAGGCCAGGTTCTCAACTTTTCTAATACTGCAACCCTTTAACACAGCCTCTCATGTTGTGGTGAGCCCAAACCATAAAGTTATTTTCATCAGTGCTTCATAACTGTAATGTTTGCCACTGTCGTGAATCATAATGTAAATAATTTTGGAAATAGAGATTTGTCACAGTTTCACAACCCACAAGCTGAGAACCACTACTTGAGCCGAGTGGTCAGCAAGGCTGTCTGTCACATACCCCCACTCCCAGAATCCCTTACTCTGGCCCTTAGAGGACATGCATGACTTGTCCCATCCTAGCCTGGCCCTGGGCTAGATCCCTCTGACCTGGCAGATTGCTGCCAGTCACGTGGGCGTGGGTTGGTTGGTAGTCTCCTGGTCACTTAGCACAACCCTGAAGCTACACTGAAGTGACCCGCCTGGAAACCAAAATTTCAGTCTTTTGGGCAGGCAGTGGACCCATAAGATTTGTACTGCCATCAAATGCCCTTGGTAGGCCAAATGTCCAACACCTTCCTGCCCAAGCATCGCCTGTCTAGTTCCAGAACAAGTTCTTCTCATAGGTCCCAGTTCTCCCCTGGCCTAGCCCTCACCCCAGTCCCACTCTACTACTGCCCTTCCCAGTTTACTCATGCCCCTTCCCTGCCCTCTTCTAGCTCACTCCCCCTCCTATCCAGCCCCCTTGCTCATCCTTGCTCTTTTCTGTTCTCATCCTCTGCCTCGGTCCCGTCCCGGCCCTGCCCCTACCCCAACTCGCTCACCCCCCCCCCCTTGCCCATCCCAGCCCTCTCTTACTCCCTCCTAGAGACCCACTCACTTCTATCCAGCCACCCCAGCTTGGCCTTGACTTCACCCGCCCCGCCCCTCCCCTCCCCGCCCCTGCCTCGTCTCCCTCCTGCCCCGCCCCCACCTCGTGCCCCGCCCCTGCCCCGCCCCGCTCCCCGAGACCCACGGTCAGCACCGGCAGCCTTCACTTCCAGCAGTCATCGCGGCGTCCAGCGTTCGGACGCCAACATGTCCCAGCGCTTCGTGGTAACCCCAGCACAGAGCGGGATGGGGGACGCGGGACCCAGGGCAGAGGGCGGCGACAGCCAGCACCTGTGCTTGGATCCCGATCCCGACCCCGACCCTGACCCTGACCCGGATCCCAGCCTGGTGGCCGCACTGAAAACACAAGAAGTAGATGCGCTGCCCATTCTGCGCTACTGCCGCGAGCCCAGCCGCTATGGTAGGTGCAGCTAAGCCTTCCTCCTAGAGGGTCACCGCTGCCTCTGTGTGGGTGCAGCAAGTGACAGACAGCCTGCCTGTTGCCCAGGTGTCAGGAGGTGGCCATTGCCTGCTGGCTTAAGGAATTGGCTGCAGGTCACCAAGTGTTACAGCCCTGGCTCTGGAATCAGCTGGCGTCCTTTGTCCCTCAGTTTAGTCCTGCTAATCCCTGGCCCTGCCTGATGTTCTATGGACCTTGTAGGTGGTAACACTCAGTAGAGTGGTTGTAAGAGCCCGTGGGATGTCTGTAGTTGGTGGGGGATAGCTTCTGGGGTTGCCCATGATCACTAACTCTGGACCCCTCACAGTTAGGAACGCTGAGAAAAGGAACTGTCTGCTGTGTTCTGGTGAGGGATTTGAAGGTGCAGGCAAGACAGATGCAGCCAGCCTTTGGTGAGCGCTGTGAGTGTAACTTCACAGCTGTGGAAGCCCACTTGGCTTGCTGTCCTTTGTAATGACTTGTGACCTCTGACTGCATGTGGGAATCCTGGAACAGTGCAATTTACTGTTGGTCACACATCTGCTAAGCCAGGCTTTCTGGGGAACATGCAACAGGAGCAGACTCTCACAGTGCACTCTCCAGATTGTTCTAGAGCCCTTCTCTGGGTCACAGAGCAAAGATGAAACCAGAGCTGGCTCACGGGTTTGTCTTTGCCCCATCCCTGAAGGATAGATGGCATTTGCCAGGCATTCTCTGAGAGACCTCTACCTTCGGTACCTGTCTGCCTTCCTGAGTAGGGTCTCCAAAATGGGATTGGTACTTGTCTAAACAACCTTCCAGTACTCAGATGCCCTGCCCTGGTCAGCTGGGGAGGCACCATCACAGGTGCCATGACAGGTGTGTTCATGTTGCATGTATGCAGTTATTTAGAGATTTGGGTAAGGTTATACTGTGACACTAAGAGAAACTTAGAACTGTCACTTTTCTGGTAGGGTAATTTTTATAACAAAATCTGAGCAATCGCTTCCCTGTATGAACTTTTGCATGCATAGCTTTGGTGCTATGTGTGTGTGAGCGCAAGTGCGTGCACACTACAGATACCCTAGATTCCCTAGATTGGACATGCTGAGCTATGTCTCCACCTGTCTCTGTTCTGAGCTCTGGGTCTGGTTTTGTCTCCTGCTTTAACAGACAGGATTGCCAGGGAGCTTGTCCTGCTGGGTAGTGGTTGACTTTCCTTAATCTTGGCATGTCAGCAAGGTTGTATGTGGCTGTCTGCCTACTTGCCAAGGGACACGTTTCTTTTGGATTTCTTTGTGGAACCTAAGAAGTAAATAGATGATCTCTTAGGTCACCAAAACTGTGACAGAGCTGTTATGGTGTCTGCAGGCCCTGCTTATAGGGCCCCTGCTTGAGCATGAGGGCTAGCAGAGGGTGTGGGTAAGAGAAAGCGGACAAAGCATCTACTGAGGTCCTCTTGAGTTGCTGAAGCGAGGAGCCCCGCCATTCTCTTGGAAAGTCCCCACCCTTTGGCAGAGAATCTGCTGATGGATAGTATGACAGACTGGGGTCCATGCCTGCCCTTGACCTGGGCTTTTTGGCTCCCCCATGCTCCCGAGGAATGCAGGCCTCCAGGATTTAGTGTCTCTTTTTGAGTAGGAGATCGATGCCCAAGAGTATTGAACACCAGTAACACCGTGAGCCAAGAGCACAGGTCAGACCCACACTGTAGTGGCTTCTGCCCTTCGTCCTCAAAGTCCTTCATGCTGGACTATAAACCCCCCACTAGAGGCCCTTGGAGACAGGATGCCAAGAGGCAGGTGTGGGTCGAGACTTCTCCATGCCCCTCTGCCCCATTTCAGGCTAGAGAAAGAGCATAACCTCAAGTCCCAGATGTAGTAGGTGAGGCAGGATGATGTGGGGTCCCCCAGGAGACTTCTCGACCCTGAAATCTCCACTCTCCTCGCCTCTCTTGTAGATGGGGTCTAGAAGGCCCTGAGGGTCAGATGTCCAGGGGTCAGATCCTACTGGAGGCTGGAGGTAGAGCAGCCACCCCCATGTGGGTCCTAAGGATTTGGGACTCAGTGCTGGGACTCAGTGCTAGGGCCCCAGCTGTACTGTTGGCTGACTGAATCTGTCCATGGACAGCTGGCTCCAGTTGTGTGGGGATTTCGTGTGACTGTTCCAGACAACGGTCAATCCAGTGGTTTTGTGTTATGCTTCTACGTGGGAACAGAAGACCTATTATTTGGTGTTTCATTAACACAGTGTAAACTAAGTTCGAAAAACAAACGAAGATTTTATTGGTCCGGTTTGGGCACGGTGCCAAGAGCCAAGCCCTGGGTGGGGTGTTGTCCTGAGTCAACCTTTGGTTACAGATGTGTGGCAGGTGATGAGAATGAACTTTCTAAATCTCCAGAGACGTCAGGTCTCCTGGCTTACAACCTCTTTTAAGGCCAGTTCTCAAAGCTTCCACTGTCCATATTTACCACGATACATGGATGCTCATTTGGCTCTGCCATCAGACCAGCACCCTTCACATGAATGAGTATTCTGGTCTCTTCTCATTGGGTGGGGTGTGTCTAGGAGCAGACAGCACATGGTGGCATGGTCTCCCTTTGCTGTGTGGTGGGGTCTGAGTGTGATGCTATGTCTCTTATCTGCAGGGCTTGCTCAGCCCATGTCCCATAAGACACAGGTTTCAACACGGAGCCTCTGAACTGTGTTCTATTTGCTTTTGATGAAGATGGCACTCATAGACAGGCAGAATGAGTCCGTCACTTGCTACCTGTGACTGCCTGTTCTGTGGTTGTCACTGCATTGTCTGTGAGCACAGGGGCAGAGGGGAAATGACACAAAGGGCCCATAGGAAAGATCCTGGCCCTGTGGCAAAGGTCCAGAGAGAGATCCCTCTCTGCTTTCCAGCTGAAGAGGTTCTGTTCTGGTGGAATGGTCCCAACGTGTTCTCAGAACCATTTACTAACATAAGATGGACAGTCACCCAGAGTGCCCCCAAGACAGAAGGGACAAGGAAGAACAAGGCCTCCAGATGACAGGAAAAGCCATAAGCACAGGGCTTCCCGAGGAGGGCTTCTGGGAGGTCACAGCAGCCTAGAAGGTCGTAAGTGACCTGGAGCACTTTCCACCCTCCCTTGTTCCCCTGTCCTACCTGGCATTTGAGCTGCAGACTCCTGTGGTTTCATTCCTGTCCAGGACAAAGACCAGTGTTGAGTCCCTGATTGGAGGTTGGTGTCATGCTTCCCGTCACTGTTATGGCTGGTAGGACCACACGTCTGCCAAACCTTGATAATTATACTTCAAGGGGTGATGGTACAGGGCTTGGCCACAGAGATCTCGTGAAGCTACCTGCAGGCTGCTATTCCTGCCCCCCTGGAGACCCAGGTCCAAGAGAACGTCCCACTTCCCATGACAATGGCCTTTCTAGTCAGGTGCCCCGGGAGTCCAGGCTGAAGTATCCCGATGTATACATATATCCACATACGTGTGGCTGTGAGTCTATGTGTCCCTGTGTGTCTCCTTGTTACCTGCAATGTCTCCATGTTGTGTGTCTTTGCGTTATCTCTGCATCTCTCGTGTACCTCCATGTTGTCTTTGTATGACCGTATGAGTCTTAAGGTGTCCTATGGTGTGTATGTCTACATATTGTCTCTTTGTTTCTCTGTTGCCTGTCTCTGTGTTACCCGTGTGTTTCTGTGTTGTCTCTGTGAAGTCTGCATGTCCCTGTGCAGTGTTGTGTGTCCACGTTGTCCGTGTGTACGTCTCTATGTACATCGGTGCTGTCTTTTTGTCATCTTTCGTTTCTCCGTGTGAGCTTGTGTTGCCGTGGTATGCTTGTCTCTGTGTGTCCTGGTGTCTTTGTGCTCAGTACACGTGTCTCTGTGGACTGAGCTCTGCGGTTTGTTGCTTAGCATATTTTCTGTGGCCTCCGAGGCAGTTTCTATGATAACACTTCTGAGTTAGGACGGCCCAGAGGAGTGCCAGCTTCATGATGTGTTCACACATTGGGCAATGTCTCTCACTGCAGTCCTAGGCCCTGCTTGAAAAGGGTCTTGGTAAAATTGTATCCCAAGCCATACCTGGGTTCCCTGAACAGAAATACTGTTAGGCTGCCCAGGCTGCTGAGACTGGAGAGCTGATTCTGGGTTATAGCTAGACTCTGGTGCCTGAAAACCTGCTGCCTGCTGGGCAGACTGTTTGCTTTTTGCTTAAATATTTCATGGGGTGTGGCCCTCCTGGTAATCGGTAAGATGCTTCTAGCTCTCGGTGAGCAGTGCCAGCTCAAGTTCTGTCACTTTGCTGTGAGAGAAGCCATGCTTTGGTGATCGCTAATTTGGCTTAACAAGAAAATACTTCATGCACTTTTGCCCTGTTCTCTCTGCTACATAATATTTAACTTGGCTTCTTTGTCTCCACTGGGGTAGCCTAGGGTTTGAGACACCACATCTCATTATGGGAAGGAATTGTCTTTAAATAAAGCAACAGCATCCAAGAGAGTCACAGCTAGGTCAGGAAGAGCCCGAGTTGGAGGCTTCAGGATTGGAGGCTTCAGGATGGGGTTGGCCCTGTGTTCGGCATCTTGGTACTAGTGCAAACCCTGCAGCAAAGCAGGGGACCCTTGACCCCAGGGCATTCAAAGTGACAACAGCTCTGTTGTCTCCTACTGTGTGGGAAAAATAAATATGTGGAAACACCCAAGTCTGGGTGATAACCCACTCTCTCCAACCTACTAGAGAAACAAACTCACAGGAGCATTTGTGTTCAAGTGGATGCACTGCCTTTCCCCAACCTGATGGAGAAATAAACACGTGAGTATATCTGTGTCTAGGATAACCCAGCCTGAGTCAAAGCAGCCCTGGTTGTACAGGAGGCCTCTGAGTGAAGTTGATACTGTTCATAAGCAGATATGGGTGTGCAGGGATCCAGAGGTGTGTGTGTGTGTGTGTGTGTGTGTGTGTGTGTGTGTGTGATGCCAGTTACTGTAACCATGTGTTAGTGGAGAA